ACTTCGTAAAGGTGTAAACTGGTGGCGGAAGAGAGGGAGAAGGGAAATGATACTAAAACTTAACTTACATAACATAATGTAACAATAATTTAAAAATAACTTAGAAAAGATTTTAAAAAATTAGTGTTGTTTTATTTTTTAATTATTTTTTTAATTTTTATTCACTGCTTTTTGCTTTCTTTCCTTCACTTCCACCAGCACTTTCACTGGATAGAGGTCACTTGGAAAAATATCTATCCAAAGAAGTTTGGTTTTGCCTACTGTTTAAAATGTTTCTAAAATGACTTAGGCAAATGCCATTACTCCGAGCAGCAATGCGGCCAGTGTTTCGGGATGTTTCTTTTCAATAAAATCAGTCACTTTCTGATAATACCTCAAGATTTCCTTTATCGAGCGAGATCCTTTCATGACGAAATAAACATGCAGACCGAGACCAATGAACAGAAGTGAATAAAAAAATGGCGCTGCAAACTAATGTAGCGTCATATGGTGAGTTTTTGTTCATATTGTGGAGCAAAAGTATGTTCGAATTTCATGTCGTATCCTGAAAATTTTGTATGCTGGGGTATTTGTATCCTGAAGTACCACTGTATTTCAAAAAATTCAACTTACTTGTAGTGGATCAGTGCAAGGAAGCTCTAATTTTTCCCATAATACTTGCCACTTTTGTGGTAAATGACCCAATTCAGTCTCTTGATTATGTATACTCTAGAAATATAAAATTAAGAAAAGAAAGTTTATAAAATATCCAATTTTAAAAAATTGATGTTAAGATTTATAATTAAAGTGTGATTATAGCCTATTCAAGCTATAATTACACTGAAGAGACATTACACCACCTAGAGTAGTGAGCTCGCCCAAAGACAAAACAACAGCACTTGCAAGGCTCATATTGCCATATATAAACAGCCAGTGAACTGTGTTTCTGAATGTAGAGTTTTTGGCTGCATCATGGGAAAAGTAGCAGGTTTATCAGACTTCAATAAAGGAAAAATCGTTATGGCTAGGTGCCTAGGAATGTCAATCTCAGAAACAGTGTGATTGGTGTATTGTTTTATTTAATATACTTGTAATATACAGGTATATTAAATAAAACAAAAAAACTGTTTTCTGTGAAACTCTAGCATTAGCTGTAAAGCCAGTATAATAAGTCTGATATTAGAAAATAAGTACTTGTAGACGAAAATTTATATTATAGTAAGTCAAGGACATTGAGGCATTTTAATTAAACTATTATGCATTGTTTGCCAAGACCAAAAGACTACAGTGACCCAACTCACCAGCAGCTAAACAGAGGTAACCAAGACAATGTGTCTGCAGTGTACCCTTCTGTGTATGGGCCTGCGTATCCACTGGCCCAGCCGAGTCCATGCGCTTATAATACGTCATCGACAACAGTGTCAGCAATGGCCAGAGAGCATTGCAATTGGACCTTAGAGAAATGAAAGGAAGTTGTCTGATCCGAAGAGTCACATTTTCTGGTTTATCATGTTGATGGTTGAGTGTGGATAAGGCAATTTCCAAAGGAGACCTTGGCTGCCAGATAAACAGTTGGACAGATACAAGCTGGTGGAAGCAGTATTATAGTATGAGCAATGTTTTCATGGAACATATTAGGACCCATCATCACCATAAAACAATCCCTGATGGCTGTGCACTATGTGAACATCATTGCAGACCAGGTTCACACCTTCATGGCAACAATGTTCCCAGTGGTGATGGCCTGTATCAACAGGATAATGCACCATGTCATAAGGCCCAAATTGTCATGGAGTGGTTCGAGGAACATTCCAGTGAATTTTAAGTCATGTGGTGGCCTCTGAATTCACCTGATATCAATCCAATTGAACATTTGTGGTTCCACCTGGAAAACTGAATTTGTGCTGCCACACAACCATCTCACAATGTTCAGGAACTGGAGGACCAGCTGATGAGCACCTGGTACCAGATACCTCAGACTACCTACCAGCACCTTGTCAAGTCAATGCCTCGCCATATGTTGGCAGTTTTGTGGGCAAAAGGTAATCCTTCATCGTATTAAACAGATGGTCACAATGTAATGGCTCTTCAGTGTATACTTCAAATTGAATTATTATTAATCAATAATAATTCAATATGTTAGAATCATCCAATAGTATTTTTCATAGAAATAATTTTCTATTAATTAAATGACATATATAATTATATGGTTTCATATTTATTTTGTTATAGATTTAATATTTAAATTTAAAGTAATAGTAATTAAGAATAAATAATACTATACTATGCCATACTATATGTGCTCTGATATCTCCAGAAATTTATATGTTTAATAAATGGAAAAAAAAGTCACTTATTTCTAATTAATGCTGGAGATTGTTTTCTTTTAAATTCATTTATTTTTTCTGCTTTTAATTCAGATGTAATATGAATTAATAAATTTTAATGCTCTGTTTTAAAATGGTTTCTTACAATTTTTACATATTATTACATATGTTTTGTATCTATCATTATTTATTTATTTATGAAATTTTTGCAATTAAATTTAATCATCAACTCTTTGAACAGTGTTTAAATATTTTATTATTAAAAATTAGGATAATTTAGTTTTATTTATCTATATTTGTGTCATTTTTTTGTTTTTCTTAATTTGTTTCCTATGCTTTTTTGCTTTTATTCAATCAAGAAAATACTCCAAAAATGTTTTGGTATATTTTTGTACAGTCTAAGTTTGACTGACTCATGAAACAATACAAAACTTTTATAATAAAAATTATGATTTGGTTTTACACTTAGAGATTAAACCTTCAATATCTCAATGGTTGTAAAATTTCAAGAGAAAATGAAATGATAATTATGATGAAAATGATAAACATGAATCCTATAAATAAATACAATGCTATGGTTTACTTTTACTCAACCTTTCTTTGTTTCACAAATCACTTTGAAAACAATATTTGTATCCCTTTAGGTATATTCATATGATTATTAAACAAAATTTTTTATAAAATACTTATAATAATTTTGTTCTTTTTCTTCAGATTTGAAAGATTTCATCCAGTTATAAAGATAATTACCAATTTGTTACAGTATTTAAAAGTGAATAATGGGTATATTAGAAAGAACATTGATTTTATAACATATTAGAACTATAAATTTAGCACATAGATATTCTTTTTGCTTATGGACAGGAAACAAAATATTTAATTTAAAATATGTATAGTAGTATTTTTCTCAAGAAATTATTCAGTAAGTAACAAAAATGTGATATCAGAAATAAAACACATATCAAACAAAAGTAAGTTTGAAAATAAAATTTATAACACTTCTTTATATACAACATTACGTGCTTTTCTGAACAGAGAGTATACCAGGGGTGGGCAAGCAAGAGTTCAGTGAGAGCCGAAATGTAGGTTTTGCAAAATGCATGGGAGCCGCAGTTCTGTACTTTTTTATTCTGTACCACAGTTCTGTACTGTACTGCGATTTTATTATGTAATATAAATATAATATAAAACAAATATTGAATTTTTTTAACACATATTTTCACAAAATTGTGGAAATAAAATTGTAAAAATAATAATAAAAAGCAGAAATTAACATTTTCAGCAAGAGCCACATTTGCCCATGTCTGGAGTATACATAAAGGTTGTTAGCAGTTCCTACCCCAGAGCATCCTACATACAGTTGATCATGAGAAAAACATTCTTCTTGTAATTATAGGCCAACAACTTTAAATGTTTGTCCCTGTGATTTGTTAATTGACATAGCAAAGCTTAGTCATACTGGGAACTGTAAGTGTCTGAATTAAAATGGCACCTCTGATGTTATTAGAGGTATCCTAGGAATAAAAGTGTATAGCAAACAAACAAAACATCCTCATTTATATATATAGATAACACTTTTAAATGTGTTTCTTCAAACACACTTTATTAATAATTAATGATATTATAGAATTTTTAACATTAATCACTATCATGAATTCCCTTGGATTCATTGAACCATCAAATGGGAACAACTGCCATACTTATTATTTGAGAAAATTTAACCAATATGGCCAGGAGCACTGTTGATCATAATAAGTGGTGTAAGCATAGCATTGGAATCTCTCAAAAGTCAGAGAGAATAAATTATGTTCAAAACAAAATATTTTCACTTCCATTCATAAGCATAAAAAAATTTAGTTAAAACAACTTATTTAAACTGAGTACATCTAACCCTTATAACTCTTTATTGCTGTTATGCTACTTTATTTTTATATATTCTCTATTAATACTTAAACATTTAAAAATAATTTTCTTTAAAAAACTATAATGTATAAAATTTGCTTATATGTAAAGTCTATTTATGTTGTTTGCATAGTAATAGAATATAGACTTTTCAAAAGTATAATTTCAGAAAATTCAATTTTTTATTGTGTTACAAAATTTAGTGTACTCTATGATTTATTTATTTTCAAGGGCATGAAAGTCTTTAGGTGTTTGGATTTTGAATATACAATTCATTAAAATACCTGTTAGTTTAAAACATGTTATGTAGACTTTCATTTTTGCTGTCAATCAAATTCTCTAGTTTATAAAAAATATTTTTGCTTTTGGAAAAGTTTAAAAAATCTGCTATTTTTTTTCCAATCATTTTGCAACTATTTAACACTGTAGTTTATTTTTATAAAATTCAATAGGTAATATCTAGATGGGCATAAATTTTTCTCCCTTATCTAAAACTGATCTTGATTAAAATTAGCTTACATGAATTTTCTAATGTTTTTGACATTATTATTGATATTAAAGACATTAATTAAAAATATTAGTGTTCATTTCATTTAATATTTGATTAAATTTAATTACTTATAAAATATTATAATATTTATCCTTTATTAGATATTTGAAAAAATTATTAATTAATTAATCATACTTCTAGTAACTGGCTGAATACATCAGTTTCAACACTCTGAATGTTGTCATAACATTTGTGGAGAACACGGCGAGAACTTTGGTTAATATTTCCATCTGCAGCTTCAGCTTCCTCTTCCTTCTGTTTTTCCATTGCTATTATTTCAACATCATACAAAGGACCATGTGCTAAATTTTCTTCTATATAATAACTCCATATTTTTAAATTGGATATGTTTGAATATGGTCGTAAAACCTGAAACTAAATTGATTTATTAATTCTAGAGCATATAATAAATAAAATTTTAAACTTTATCTATACTAATATTATAAAGAGGTAAAATTTGTAAGTTTGGATGTAGGAGGTAATCTCTGAAATTACTCATCCAATTTCAAAAATTCTTTCACCAATATTTAGAATGGAACTTTAGGGTGGACATAGGCTGTATATTATTCCATTAACATTCATATAAATTAAAAGATATCATCTCGGATTAAGGCTTTAATGTCCAACAGATGGCGCTAACTCAGTGAGTATGACGACCCAAGTTTGCTTTTCTGTGTGATATTATGCTTTTCTGTGAGGATGAACTAAAACAGATCATCTTCTATCTATCTATATAAATAAAAATGTAATGGTCATTTGTTCCTACGGATTCCTTTGAAATTTTGACACAACATTGCATTCGAATATGCACGTGTTTTTATATACAGAAGAGCATCATTTTTCCTAAAGTCAGTCATCTGAAATGTCAGTTATCTGAAAGAATTCCAGTTGGCAAATTTAAATTTTCGCTAGTGCTGTGGTGCTGCAATCTTTGGCTATATCTTGGGCTACTCCAATATTTTTTTTGATGTGTGTGTTTTAGCTGGCAGCACTGTCTCTTTGTGTGGTGTTTTTCTGAGGACTGTGTGTCATGCTGAATTGAATGTTTTTGATACTAGATTAACTTCTAAAGTATAGTTTTTTTTGTTTTTATATTTTTCAATATATTTATTTTGTTTGTAAAAAATAAAGAAATAATTTTTAACGATACAAATGCCACGATTATTATTTTAAAAAGTTTACATTAGGCTTAACATCGATGAACTTTCAACGCAAAGCGACATGCAATGGAGAAAAATTTCAACATGGGATAGGTTAATATATTTTTTCATACATAATTGGTTATCCAAAAAATAAGTTATCCGAACAACCCCAGTCCCCAATTGATTCGGATAAACGATGCTCTACTGTAATATACACTTAGAAATTCCCCCACTGGGGGGAGATGAACAGGATTAAGGCTTACCGCGAAGAACTCTGCTTCTATCTGTACTATTTTAGATGCGGTTTTTTGCATTTTGATTGCGTTTTAATAGAGTATGTCAAGAGAATGTACAGTACACTAAGAAGGGATTTTTTGAAAAATTCTCCCCCACAGGGGAAGTGTTATACATATATAATAGACACATTTTGAACCACAACAACACATGGCAGGGTCTGCTAGTTTTACAATATGTTTAATTTTTTGTATTAGATTTTAAAATGTTTATTCTATAATTTTAATTAACAACTAGTTTTATTACTTCTTAAAATTATCTAAATTCTTTTTTTCTAAGGATATAAATTTGAAATTATATAATATTGCAATCAATTTTTCAGTAATATAAAAATATGACATAATATAATTAGTAAGCATATGTAAACTGTATTCTGTATGTAGATATGAAACAGAATATCATGAAAGACTTAACAGTGTTTTACAGACTGGGTTGTGCACTTGGAAGTTGATATTTGTGCAAAAGTGTCATCTTAATTATAATTTTATCCTGCTTTGAAATTCTGTTAACACCATAGCTACAGAACTCCCAAAACAGAAATAGAATTCACAAATATATACTTGTCAGTTCAGCACTATTGTTTATCGTGGTGCTTACTAACAAGCACATGTTTGTGTGTTCAGGTGTGGAAAGTTGAAAATGAAATCATATTCTATTTTCAATTATGCAAGCCTGAAGATGGTCTGTTAACTGGATAAAAAATTTTAGCATTATTTAAATTTCATCCACTGTAAAAGGTGCATTGATTAAAGGTGCATTGATTAATTCAGCTACATACTTTCTGTTAGTATCCATACTACTTTTTAAAGCAGTACTGAAAGCCATTTTTTTTAATTGAAAGAAAAGTTCAAGAAATGTAGATTCCAATAACTAGCAGAGAAGACACTGTAATGATAAAAGTCATTTGTCAGGCCAGTGTAAAAAGTCAAAAACAGAACTTATTTTAACAAATGGTATGGATGCTGACAGAAGTTTGTAAGTGTGGAAAGAGCTTACTTTGAAAGTGACATAATGAAAGAATTTGTGCATGTTGTGTAATAAAAATCTATGCCAAAAGTTTGGTTTATTTTAACTATGTGCAGTACATGTTTTTATACAAACTTTCTGCAATGCATAACTATACATTCTAGTAATCAAAACATAAATAAACAAATAATAATTATTATTCTTGGTATATTTAATTCACCTGTAAAAAGTCTAACTATAACAAAAAATGTAATTAAAACTTACACCTTCATCTTGATTGGGAGAATACCAAAAATTATAAAAAACAGGTGATTTAGTCCATAATTTTTCAACATAGTCCCAAAATGAAGTTCCTAATGGCCCAGAAGATAGAGAATTAGACTTTAAAGTAAATCCACTTTCGTCATCAGATCCGCCATCCAATCCTCTATGACGAGAACTTCTTTCCTCTAACCATCTCATTTCTGACCTTTCACATTCAGTATCCAAAAGAAATGTTCTAAATCGACAAGACACATAATGATAGGCCAAAAATTTTAAATAATATTGGTTGAATTCAAATGAGAGTGGAAACTGCAGATGAATCTGAAAATAAAATGTATATATCATTAAATATAATTACTTTAAATATATAAAATATCTACTTCACTACATATTATAATTTCGATTTTTATATTAAACAATTAAAGCTTTTAAAATTCATGTTTGATATTTACTAAAGAATTTCAAAACATCACATGTGTAAAACTATATTCTCATGAAATTTACAATTCAAGAAAATAACTTTGAACACAGGACAATATGAATTTAGAATATGATGTAAACTTTTAGATATTTCATATCTAATTTTAAACTGTTTGCAATAGGTTTTAAGATAACATAATTTATTATATTGTAATTGTTTTGCTTTTACTGGCTACTAATTGTTTAGTTATACAATATAAATAAAAGTGGATATGATGGAGTATATGATCTGGCAATTTTTCCATAATTATTCCAACTTAGAGGTATTCAATTTGACGTAAGTGGGAGCAGGTCCGTCTTTAGGTGTGGGCCTACTGGGCCTGGGCCTGGGTCCAGGGGCTTTCAGACATTGAGTGCCTCCTAACATTCAAGACCTTGAAAATATGTACAATTGAATAGAGCAACAAGTAATGAAATTATTATAAACAGTAAACAATCAAAAGATATGTTTGATAAATTTTATTAAACATAAATTTAACAATATGTTTAGCAGAGAAAGCTAATTGAAAAAATTTATGAACATTAACCCTCCATTACAAATTCCTTAACAAGAATTACAAGAAAAGCTTGGAGGGGCCTTCAAGCTTTTTTTTGGCCCAGGGCCTTGCACGTACCAAAGACTGGCCTGGTGTGGGAATTTATAGGCCTGCAACTTTCAAATTGCAGCCAATAAGTTTATAAAATAGATTCCAATATTTTGAATATAACACAACTTAAATCCACAAAATACTTTTGCTAATTTTTTGAACTAAGATATAAAGGATGCCTTGAAAATGAATTGTTATTTATAATGTATGTAAACAGAATTTTATTAAATAGTATAAAATTCCAAATATTTAAATTTTTAATAATAAATCAAATAGAGAGATTCATTTTCTAATCATTATTTGTAAAATTTGTGATTTCACTTAAATTGATCTAGTACTTTATATGTTGAAAATGTTTATTTAATAGCCCCATACACTTATTTAATGTTAAATTCAAAAATATATATTTTGTTTTTGATAAACTTTGTTTACAATTATTAAGTGGTAAATAATAAAATTTTTAAAATTAAGTGGTTTAATAAAATTTTAAATATTTATAATAAACTTACTTGATGTATCACATCTAAAAACTGTAAAAATAGAGGAGTGAAACCACTTGCTGAAGTGGCAGCTGTGTGATTACCACGGTGAGTAAATCGATGTCCAAAGGCTAACCATTCCTTTTCAATAAGTACACGGAAACCATCAAATGTTCGGTAATATGGATCTAAACAAATTTGAGCAATTGAAACAATCTGAAAACAAAAAGTATATAACATTATATATCAATATTTTGTACATATGTATATTGTATTTATATATGAATTTTTAATACAAAGTTAATTAATAGTAAACATTTTCATAGAAAAATGCTATTATATAAATTATATTTTTATAAAAATCATACTTAAATATATAACAAATGTAATTCTGCTCTCACAGATTAGTTACAATATGAAATTTTCTATTTTAAATGCATTCTGTTTACATATGTGAAGTAAAAATAAAGTTTTCAATTTCAAAAAAAAAAAAATCCTTTATTTGTCTATTGTAAATAAACCAGTGAACATGAGAAATAAACTTGTAATTGCAATGTATTTTTTGTAATAATTCTCATTGATAAATCTGATTAATTAACCATATTTCTGTATAAAAAAATTATTCAGATATATAAATATGGCTATTTTGTTGTTTCATAGCATTCCATATACAGTAGGTGATCAGTTAACCCCTCAGTCTCCATTGACGTATATATATGTCAAGCCTACATAGCGTTACGAGAAATGTGGTCCTTAAGGCCATTTTTGAAAAAAAATTTTTTTATTGAATTTTTGGAATGTTTTTTAGGCCCCGAAACTTTTTCAAAATTTTTTTCCCGCGCAAAAAAATTTTATCGCGATTTTAATGAGCCTATGTGAAGGCTCGATTAAGGCTTAATTATTTTCTAATGGGAGTTTTTTATCAATTTTATTTCATGGTTCCTAAGTTGTAGCGCATGGATTTTCATTCGGTAAAGTTATTTAAAGTTAGTTTCTGATGTCAAAAACGACCTCCAATGGTTTTTTAATTTTTTTAATTAATATATTTTTTTAAATATANACAACATAAGAAAAAATATTCAGTAATAAGTTGCATGCATATAATTATATTTCTTAGTTTAGATGGTGCAGATTTTAAAAGTATTCATGATGAATGTGTATATAAAGTGATAAATCATATCTTCATATTTTTCTTTAGTCACAGTTTTTAGGCTTAGTTTTCACATTTAATGATGATGATACTATTTTTCTGAAACTACTTGGCCTATCCAGTTTTGGAGGTAAATCAAGAGTTTTAAATTGCAAATCTTTTTCCATTGATGTTTTATGAAACAATTTATATGGCACATTTCTTGAAAATCTTATCTAGAAAATATTCAACCAATTGACAGTTTCTACATCACTACAGTGGGTGATCGGTTAACGAACATAATCCATTCAAAGACTTTGTTCGCTATCCAAATTGTTCATTAACCGATTATTGATTTACCATAAGTTTTTATGGGAATTTGATTAATTCATTCTGGAGAACCCAAAAAATAAAAATATACACTTTCTTACTACATTTATTTATATGTAATAATAAAAATACATATATACACAGTCTTGCATTTTTATTAGTCATGTTTTTTCCATTTGTGGGAGTTAAAGAATCTGTCTAATGTCAATTGCTTCTCTCTCTTCTTCAAGATTTTTCAGAAGTAATTAATAGCATTGTTGTTGTAGAGATCCCCAAGCCTATTAACCTCAACCTGGTTTGGATGCCATTTTAAGACCATTGTTCTGCATCCTTCCACTTCTTCAAAAGATCTTTAATAGCAAATATTGGCATTAATCCTCTTTTTCAAAATAAAACATATCTTGCCAAGTTTCTTGATGTTCTTTGTTCAAAGAGTTCTTGGCATTCTTATGTCATCAGATCAGTTTCAGGTTCCATTATGAGCTCTTCAATGTATCTTTATTTCTCAGATGTGATTTTTGTTAGTCCTTTAGCTGCTTGAGTCTTCTTCTTGATTATACAGTATCTTTCTTAGATAAGGTTGAACTACAGCCTACTGTAGACCGTCCAAGCCATACTGCCCAGCAACATCAGACATCTTCTGCCCACTATCTACCTTTGCTATTATACGCTCACCTTTCGAAAATAAAAACCAACGCAAAACTTAATGAGTGCCTGCCAGACAGTCTCATGAATACTATAAAAAAACTGTTTCTGTCAGAAAAATAAAAAGCTGGAATTACAAGGGAGAGTTTCAAAGTTCCGAGGAATACTATCTGATCGATATATACTGGGTTGAGTGTCAATGTCGACGTTTCCCGTGCTCCAAAAAGTTTCGAATTATTGCCTGAAGACAAGGGAAGACCAATCGATATTCATTATTTTACATCGCTTCTTCTTTTGTTTGTTTTGTGAGATGTTCATTATCTGAACATAAAAATCTTTCGCGAAAGTGTTCATTATCTGATTTGTTCATTAACTGAACTGTTCGTTAATCAATCACTGACTGTATATGAAAATGTATTAAAGAATATTAACAAATGTAATGATATTTGAAAGCATTCTTGTTTTAATAAATGTTAAACTAATAATAATAAATACGATTATGTAATCATTTAATAAATGAAGTATTCTTAAATTTCAAAAATTTAACTAATAAATAATATTTTCCTTTACATTGGCTTTTCATAAGATGCAATTTAATATTGCATTTAAATTAAATAAAATAAAACAGACATCCAGGTATTTTGATCATTCATTTTTTTCCTCCACATAATTGCACTGCTCTGTAAATGTACAGTTATATGTATTAAATTTTAGACAGTGAAAAGATATGAGTATGTTTCATCTATCTTTTAGGGGTTATAGGTCAGTTCTTGGAGTGCCATTTCTCCTCAAAAAGTGAGAAAAGTGAGTTGAAATACAGAAAATGAGTAGAAAGTGAGTGCAATAGTGAGAAAACAAAGTGAAAACATGGAAGGAAAATAGCAGTAAAAGCCGTTTTTTTATTTTTTATTTTTATTTTGTTATGGTTAAATACATTTTAATAATTTTTGTATATACTATAATACAGTAGCCACTCATTATGTCATGGATTTGGATATATTGCACTTTTTGGTCCTCCAAATTTTAAAAACACTTGAGTCAATAGATTTTAAATTACTAATTGCCATCAAATTTCTATTTGCAATGAAATATGGTATTTTATTTCTGCCATTGTCCTTGAAACTACTACTGAAAGTGAAACAATAAATTCATCAAGATCTAAATAAGCAAAACAGGTGAACAGATCAATTATCATTTGTTTCCTTCTGATATTAGTTGTTGTTTATTTATTGGTTTTAAGTACTGTCTCCTCATTTACAAGTTTCTGTAAATTCGAAATTTCGTACCTTTATGTGAATTGACCATATTGTGTCAATTCACATAAAGGTGCAAAATTTCAAATTCACATGGTAATGTGTAAGGAAAAGATTTCTTTATTTCTGAACAGAAAGTTTTTATACAGTAGTAACTTTATAATTTTATTAAAAGTATATAGTACACAATAAATCAATTGGTAATAAAATTTTCTTATAATTTTAAAAATTATTGCTTATATGATATTATACTTTCACTATAAACTTTTCTTTCAGATTTCATTTGTGTTACTTACATGTCTTTTAGATTACTCAGATTTATTACTATATTATCAACTGCTTCAAATCAGTTTAAAAATAGATAAAATATTAATAAATCAGAATGCATTTTTTGTCTTGAACATCCCTATTTTTAAAAATATGTTTCTCCTACTTGTTAACACATTCCTTTCTAGTAACTTCTTCATATTGACAAATGATACATATATAATCAATATTTATTTATTGTAATATTTAAATTCAAATTAAATGTAAAGTTTTAAAATTATTTAAAAAAAAATTTATTTAATTTATAAATTTTCATTTACATTAACTTATTTTACAATATCTATTAACTAAAGTAAAATTTTCTTGCCTGAGTAGTAACATCCCATCCATCTTCAAGACAAACCATTACAGATGAACCTTGTACATCAACTAAATCAACAATGGCACCAGACAGTTGCAAAATACATTGAAGCTAAATTATTTGAAAAAATTATTATTATATATAGCACTGTTAAAAATTTTACAAATTATTAAATTTTAATTGTTTATTAAATCTTTTATTAAATTGCCAGAAAACATATTATCTAGATTTTATAAAATATATTTTTATACCTTTTTTTTTATTTATATATATTTTAAATCAGAATATATAATGATTTAAACCTAAACCATTTGTTTTCCATAAAATATCTTCAAATTTTTATTATTGTAATCAGTAAATTTATAATAAATTATATATATAAAATTATGAATTTGAACAATTTTAAAATTCAACAAAAGATTGTGAATCACAAAGAAACTGAATTTTCTTTTACAATTATATTTTGTAAATTAAGTAGATCAAAAGTTGTCATTAAATGTTAAATAATAGTCACTGTATCTTAAATAAAGAAAAAAAATATATGTATGTAATTAATAAAATAAAATTTATAATCCTTATTAATATGAAAATAATGTTATAGAAAAAAAATGCTCTCCACTGCTTACAATGAAAAAATCATGTGGCTTTAAATGTTTTCTTGCAGTTTATCACTATAATTTTCAATTTGAACTGTATTATTTGCCGTAGAAGACCAAAGTTTTAACCTGATATAAGCCATCATAATTCATCATGGTTACAATGTTGTTAACTCGTGGTTACGCGCGCAGTGTTACTCTCGCGAAGTTAGGCGTGTGGGCAACTATAGTCTCTGTTTCAAAATTCAATTTTTCAAAACTCATAGTATTTTTTGTGATTTTTTTCATTTTGGATGTTTGTGGGCATGTGTTTTTGATGTATTAGTCAAGAAAACTACTTTAAATATATCGTTTTTATTTATTACTAACAAAAAACAGAAAGTCTCCTGTTTTTAGGAATTTTTCAAAAAAAATTGTCAACTTCAAAAACGTATTTTAAAAACTGTAAACAAGTCTGATGCTATCTAAACTCTCAATCGTCTTCCTGTATGTGTTTTTTAACTGCCACAACAATTAAATTCTTTGTACCAAACCCCGGGCCAAAAATATCTCAGTATTTCCAAAAATACACTATCTAAAATCATACAGCAACTAGAGGTAAAAATGGAGATTATTGGCAGATAACATCGATAGTAAACTTCTTTTACACTGTAATTTGTTAATTTATATGTCTGTTATTAGATCCACCTATAAAAACAATTGCTGGAAAAATTCCCGCGAAATGCCATGCCCCAAAGGCTACCACATTGAAGTATGTAAACAATCACTATAAAATTGCATGTTTTAATCTTTTTTTCCACTTCTAATTTGCTAATGATAAGTCACTTGACAGTATTTAGACGAATAAACATGTTTTCAACACCATTTAGCAATAATTAAATAATACAGGTTATAATGTTGTTCTCCATCCCTTTTCTGTGATTCTATTGTAGGCCTAGCCAACTAGTAATAGGTGACCATATACAATAGAGCGTCATTTATCCGAATCAATTGGGGACTGGGGTTGTTTGGATAACCAATTATGTACGAAAAAATATATTAATTTATCCCATGTTGAAATTTTTCTCCATTGTGTGTCGCTTCGCGTTGAATTTTCGTCGATGTTAAGCCTAACGAAGACTATTGTATCATTAAAAATTATTTTTTTATTTTGTACAAACAAAATAAATATATTGAAAAATATAAAAACAATAAAAAATTATACTTCAGAAGTTAATTTAGTATCAAAAACATAAAATATTTCAGTAGCCCAAGACATAGCCAAATATTACAGCACCACAGCACTGGCGAAAATTTAAATTTGTCGACTGGAATTCCTTCGGATAACTGACCTTCGGATAAACGACGCTCTACTGTATAGATAATGTACTACTGTAACATGTTAACTAATCAATCAATTAACATATAAAATGTACAAAACATATCAAATTCAGTTTCTTTTCTTTAATAGTGTTTAAATGTTCATAAAACAGACATTTTTCTGTGTTTCTCATCAAAATCCTTAGTTGAACATGTGAAATGCAAGAAAGAAAAGTTAATAANTTAATTAAATACTAGATATTTTTAGTCTTAAAATTTTGATTATTTTGTTTACCTCAATTAACTTGTTTTCAAACTATTTGAGAACTCTTAAGTTTTGTGGTTTCAGTTCTAGTTTACTTGCAGTTTAGAATGAGATATTTCATTGAAACAAGGATGCCTTTATATTATATATATATAATATAAAGGCATCCTTGTTTCAATGAAATATCTCATTCTAAACTGCAAGTAAACTAGAACTGAAACCACAAAACTTAAGAGTTCTCAAATAGTTTGAAAACAAGTTAATTGAGGTAAACAAAATAATCAAAATTTTAAGACTAAAAATATCTAGTATTTAATTAAAGAAAAATATAATCTATTTATTTAACACAAAGAATTTAAATAATTTATATTCAGACTATTATAAACATAGATATTATGCTGAATAAATTAAAAATAAAATATTATATATTATAAAATATGTAAAATTTAAAGTAGATTTTCTTTAAACATTGTCCTAATTATCAAAAGTTAACAAAAATAAGTAACATATTTATCACTAGTATATCTGATTTAAGCTCTTACTTGATTTAGCCATTCAGAACTTTCAACAGCATGAAAGAAACTTTGATCTGGTTCAGTAACAGGACTACTGGGAGCACATGCTCTCATTAATTTCTTAAAACTTGTCTTTACTTGGCGAACTTCGTAGAAATCAACAGTAATAAAATCACAGTTAGGAAACGAGTCACCTTTAATTCCCTAGAATTTAATTATTTAATTAATTACTTTTTAAATATCATTAAAAATGTATAATTCAATCATATGATATCATAAAGCAAAGTAAAAAAAAAAAAATGTATTCTTCTTGAAACTATCATATATCTTTATTTATTTTGTATTATTTATTCAGACTGTTATTTTCAACTATGTATTATATATTTATAACAATTTAAAATGTTTTGTTTAATTGATGTTTTTATTTATTTTGTAGTTTTATTTGGGCTTGGTATTTTTGTCATCAATGGGGAGACTAATTCATGCCATAAACACTTTTCCTGTATTTGAAAGAATAAAGCAAACTATCTTAGAGAATCAATCTGGAAAGAATAAAAACATATGCATGATAGGTATATTTAATATACCGTACTGGCCAGAATATAAGTAGACTCCCAATTTTGAAATCTTTACTTTTTTGGAAAAAGTAGGGCCTGAATATAAGTCAACCTTCTATTATTAATTTTATTTGGATGCAAAATATTAGCAATTTGCATTAAAAAAATGTGGAAAGTCATTGAAACAATACTTCACCAGAACTTCCATCATCATTTCTGTTTCCTATTTCATTGCCATCATGGTCTTCAGTCTCCTTGATCATCATCCTTGAACATCATTGTCTGTCCTGTCCAAGTTGTTGGTAACACATCATTTCTTAAAGCCCTTTATAATTGTATTTTCACTAATAATCTTTCACAATTCTACTGCTATTCTAACTTTTATAAGAACATGTGAAATTTTTATTACTTTTTTACTACATGGAATGGATATTGTTGAAAATAAATTATTATAAATATGTAGAATTTTTTATTACTATTACTTTTATCTGTAGGAATTATGAAAATTAGTCACATTTAATTAATTTCTTTCTTTTCAAAATTATTTTAGTTAAAGATAAAGGTGTCTTTTTTTAATTTTTTAGAAATGTCTGGGAATCAATCAGCATAAATGAATTTTTGATTGCTTTCTTAGTAATTTTTATAAATTGTATTTAAATCATACCTAGATCAGAAAACTGTACTCAAAGGGTTTGTTTTATAGAAAGAAATATATGCATCAAACACCTATATTTTAAGTGATAAATTGTAACTTATCACTTCTTTCTTGTCAGTAACAATAAAAATGAAATTAATAAAAGTTGTAAGTGAAATAGAGACAATGTGCACCAGGTAGAAGGCTGATAGACACTCACACAAGGAAGCCTACTTCCCAGGGGAAGTAACTTCCTTGCAGATTTCATGTACATTCTGGAAAGTGTACTTGCAATTTTATGATTATCAAAAATGAAACCAAAACTTTGTTTCACACTTGCTTGTCTTATTTTTTTTTATAACTATGCAAAACAATTTTTATGAAGTGTAAAACATAGCTTAATTATACTGAATATATAAATTTATAATTATATTAGAAATTTACACTTTACAACTGATAAATTTTCAGCAGTCTTCCCCAATTTTTGATGATGCTCAATTAGAAGAGAGTCTTAGGAGTAAAATAAAAAAAAAGTTACCAAAATAAAAGTTCTTTAGAGGTTACCAAAACTGAATGATTCTATTGAATACAATAAAAACAATCAACTAATTGATTGTTTACAACTGTGCCAAATTCTTAAACCTTGTGCACAGTTTGCAGGATGTAGTATGATAGGTCACAGCTTGGCTGGCATTTAGCATTTCTATATAATAACACATACAACTTTAGTGTCAGTTTAACTTTGTATGACATGTTATTGAAATCAAAGAAAACTTTAATAGCACTTGAATATACATCATGGATTGAACATAGATCAAAAGCAATTTTTGCTCCTTTAAAACTGAAAAGAAACATCAACTAATATTCAAGCCAATACAATATATTCAATATGTACAAATGAAATAGAGTATAATCAAGAGTATAAACTTAAAAATATTAATGAAATACCTTCAAGCCATCAATCACATACCAGTTTATACTTTCAAATCTAAATTTAAGCCCTGAATAATGATAATTAAATTTCTGAAAGTAATTTTACTAAAAATAAATTGCTTGGATATCAATTGAAAAACCATTTAGAAATCAGTGAATTTAAAATTTCTGTTTTTAAATTATTTCATAATTATGAAAGCTAATTTCTGAATTCCTGATATTATGTGATCACTAATAAATTCTTATTTATTTTCTTTAGTTTAAATTAAGTTTTATTTTTAAGAACATTTCTACCAGCAAGAACACTAATTAAAATATTAAAAATGTCAAGCAATATGAAATATGACTTTCAGACAAGATCAATAGTATTACCTTGCTGTTTATGTTTTTGATTATTTGGAATTTTATTTTTATTATAAAAAATTGTTTAAGTAATATTATTACTTTAAATTATTTATCTCTCAGATAGGATAAGGACACTTCTTACTTTCCTGGAGGTTATATATAAACAGAAGAAAAATGTAATAATCTTGAGATGGGTCAGTAAAAATGACCCCTCTCAAGATTATTACATTTTTGGATTTAGGACACCTTGAAACGTCAAGAAATGCAATAAGATTTGGGAGATTTTTTTGTATGTATGGGGGGGGTTAATATATGCGTGATGGGATGATTTTGTTCACTTTCTTTAAAAATTAATAATCCCTGTGCTTTTTGTCGAAATTTTTTGAAATTTTGAAATAGATTTAAGTATTACAGGGATCGATACTATTAAATTTTGGTGGTTAAATTTTGGTTTTAAATTTTAATGATTAAAGGTCGAAGGAGTGGGAAGATGAAAAGAGTCGTAGACATCTGCCAGTAGGGTCAGAGTTAATGACGATTTTACTGGTTATTAGCATTTATAATTTTATGTGAAACCCATCTCTACCTTCATAATTAAACTTTTTCACATTTAATAATAATTAAAAATACAAAAGATTTTAGTAATAAAAACCCACTCAGTTTTTATTACTAAGGAACGATTATTAGTAATTTTATCGAACCACTGGTTATTAGCATTTATAATTTTATGTGAAACCTATCTCTACCTTCATAATTAAACTTTTTCACATTTAATAATAATTAAAAATACAAAAGATTTTAGTAATAAAAATCCACTCAGTTTTTATTACTAAGGAACGATTATTAGTAATTTTATCGAACCCGCGATTATTAGTGATTTTATCGACTAAGCTACTGGTTTTATACAAAAATATAGAAATTGTTTAATATTAANTGTTAAATTATAATAAACATTAAACATTTTAAAATTTTTTTGAAAAAAATATAAAACTACTAACTGAATAAAACTATAGTAAACAAAAACTTAAACACTAAAAATCTTGTAATGATTTGTTAAAATCATTACAAGATGTTTTGCTGGATTTCTATGGAATTTAACAAAATATTACAAGATATTTAATATCAACATATTTAAAATGATAACAGCAAAAACATTAACAAAATATAATGCTTACTTTAATTTGTCCTTTTTCACCAAAAATATAAAGTGCCACTCTATGTAAAGTGTGAGCAGCTTCAATACCGTCTGTATCTGAGAATCTTGAGGTATTACGTAAGGCAAATTCTGAGCCCAGACTAGTTGTAGATCCTTGTCTTCTTTCTTTTAAACTACCCCACCTTAATTCTATCATCAAAATGATTATATTAGCAAAACTATAACCATTTCATTAGAACTAATTTACAAAATTAAAACTAATTAAATATTTGACAAAATAATTAATATTTAGTTTTAATGGAAATTTGCTTTAATTATATCAAATAATTTTAATTCAATAAACTGATTAATATTTATGTAGAAATATGTTTATAACAAACATATAATATTAGATAGCTATGTTTAATAACATAGCTACCTAATATTTTTATATAAACTGCAATAACTATCTATTCAAATGTCAAATTTTTTCATTATATTTAAAACAATGATAATAGTTATTCATTATATATTTATCATCAATTAGCCATAGTACAAATGTTATATTTTTGATCATTTAAAATTGCAATATTACTAATGATAACATATTAATGTCTATAGTTATGACATCATTAAAAGTATTGTTAGTGCTTGTACTATTATAGCTATGTATTTAGTATAATTTGATTAATGGACATAATTATATGTTTTTTAGTAATCCTTAACCCTCTTAAATCTGAAGAAAAAATTTCCATCAACTTTCATTGTTTTTCTTAAAATTCTTCAATTACATTAGTCATTACATTACATTAAATACATCAATTACAGTTTAAAATAAACATATAATATATATAAATATATAATAATTCATATTTCTATAATATTTAAATAATGAAATTTATGAAATTATTTCTAGAAATTAATCTGAGTTCAAAATTTATCACATTATATGGTTCATAGACAACTTTTCAACATTTTTTTAAAAAAAATATTTTANACATAAAAATTGGCTTTTTTTTTGTCAGAAAAAGTCATAGGGAAAGCAGTTAAACAAGAAAAACTTTTCTAAATCATTTATTTTATCGTTAGGTATTATTATAATTACGGACAGATGTCATCGTCTGTCGAAATACAATATCTTTCTTATTTCGCTGTTGATAGCCCGACACGTGCTCCGCAGCCATCTTGTATTTTCTCACGCGCGTGGGATTGTGGGATCTCTCTTATGACTGGATCTAGTTTCGAGAACTCTCTCGAGTCGATTGCTATTGAACCTTGTTTTAGTCGAGATTGAAACGGTCGATGGAGGTTGCACTACGCGAACAGGGTATAAGGCTCTAGTTTAGTAGTGTTACAGAGTACAATACGTATATTTTAATATATTTTTTAAAAGAAACAAAATCATTGAGAAATGTTACGTGTGTTTAACAACAGATTCGGAAAACTTTGAAAATGTTAACAACGGGTTTGGCCGAACCTGTGCGAACCCGCTGAATATCACCACTGGTACTATATATATACTGTTTATCATGAACATTCTTTTGTTTATTATTATACATGGTATATTGATACAATTCAACAACAGTTAACTATATAGTAAGAGCAATGAGACATGTTTTGGAAAATGACAACTGACAGTGCAAATGTACTACTGCCTTCAGCAGATACTTCTCATTGTTATTCTAAAACTGATAGTAAAGGAAAGACTACTAAAAGTCAAACAAAGTAAGTTAGTTGTCCTGAACATATATCCACACTTTAGGAAAACAAATCTGACCCTATTCATAAAAGCTGTTGAAGAAACCCCAAGACTGACTAGCTTGTTGTCTTTGGCTCTTCGTGGAGAAGCAGCAACAATTTCTGGTTGAGTGTCTGAATCATACAATTAAGATAACATAAAATCATTAAAATTAAATTAAACAATAATGAAAACACTAAGGTAAAAAGTAACAGCTTTGGATAATATTTTCTACTAGGTTAGTCTGCTATACAAAAAAATATTTCAGCATGAATTTGCTGATTTTGTGACAGAAGGATACATGTACAAATAACACAGCCTTGTTCTTTATCCTGCAGGAAGTATATTTAGAAATATCTTAGGATATATTATTTTATGTTAATTCAATACAATTATAAAAAAAACATTAAACTGAAGCAGCTCTAGTTTGTGAAAGTTGATTTAATATTTGGGGTGATCTTTTGTCTTTTGAAAATAACATCTTTTTATTTAAGATGACTCATTATTTATATTTCACAGTATTCTCAATTTAAACAATTTAAATATACATTAAAGAAAGCATTTAAATTTAAAAAAATGTTTACATTAAAACTTAGATACACCAAAAATTATCATCTTTAATTGTTAAATAAGAAAATGAATATTATTTTAGTATGTGACTTTAATTAAATAGAATAATTATGCTTAAAAACTTTAGATATAAATCTATGCTTACGTTTTCCACCTTTTCCTCCTGAGGAACGTAAACTGTTTACAGCCTTTTGTATTGGATTTGAACGGCGTATAACTTCTGGAGTAAGTGTAGGAAAATTATCCATACCACTACTGCCAAGAACTAATGATGTGATGCTAAGAGTGGAATCATGTATTCCGTCTGAGCCAACAACAGATCTTAGAGTTGATAAAGGAGTTATTTTTACTATCGCTGATATGTACTTTTCATGTTCAATATGTGCTGATGTCTCACTAGAGGCACCTACAGAATAAAAGAATTAAATAATTTTGAAATGAAATTTTATACTAAGTAAAATAATTGTTGTTTTTATACAGCTGTTAATAAAGTAAAAATAAAAAAAATATGTTTTGTTTTTTCATTATGATCTATTTAATCCAATAAAAAGTAAAATTTTATATATTTATTGTTTGTTAATCTCTCAGTTAAAATAATTTAGATTATTAATGAAAATTTTAATTAAAGGTATTATATGAAAGACATCAAAATATTGATTATAAGCTAAACAACAAAACTGCTTGAATTTAGTTCTCTTCCTATAGTTTATAATCATGTAAAATTTTTAAATGCAATAGTAGCCTAAGTCAATTAAAATCTTACAATATGCTTTAAATTAAGTGAGAATATGGTTAAGTTTTTCAAAATTACTATATTCTACACAGGATAAAGAACAAAGCTAGTGTATAACTACTGAGAAAGGGTATGTATCTGCATGCAATAAAATATAGTACCAAGCAATGATGTGACTTATTACATCATTGCTTGGTACTATACAATGGTGATATTTGAAATATTTAACAAAGGGTTCGCTAACAGAAAATTTTTCCTTAACAATTTTTTTTTCTCTCAAATGGTGCATTAGCAACATTAGCACAAAAACTGACCTTAAGATATCCATATAAATAAAAAAGATGCGTTCGCAAAATTAAGTCAGTTAAAATTTAACATTGTTTATGCCAGAACTATATTTTTTTTTTATAAATAATAAAAAAGAGTGTTCAAAATGGTTTATTTTGTACATATTTTAATATTTTTCATTCAAAATATTTTATAAACATAAAAATTGGCTTTTTTTTTTGTCAGAAAAAGTCATAGGGAAAGCAGTTAAACAAGAAAAACTTTTCTAAATCATTTATTTTATCGTTAGGTATTATTATAATAACAGACAGATGTCATCGTCTGTCGAAATACAATATCTTTCTTATTTCGCTGTTGATAGCCCGACACGTGCTCCGCAGCCATCTTGTATTTTCTCACGCGCGTGGGATTGTGGGATCTCTCTTATGACTGGATCTAGTTTCGAGAACTCTCTCGAGTCGATTGCTATTGAACCTTGTTTTAGTCGAGATTGAAACGGTCGATGGAGGTTGCACCAAGGCGAACAGGGTATAAGGCTCTAGTTTAGTAGTGTTACAGAGTACAATACGTATATTTTAATATATTTTTTAAAAGAAACAAAATCATTGAGAAATGTTACGTGTGTTTAACAACAGATTCGGAAAACTTTGAAAATGTTAACAACGGGTTTGGCCGAACCTGTGCGAACCCGCTGAATATCACCACTGGTACTATATATATACTGTTTATCATGAACATTCTTTTGTTTATTATTATACATGGTATATTGATACAATTCAACAACAGTTAACTATATAGTAAGAGCAATGAGACATGTTTTGGAAAATGACAACTGACAGTGCAAATGTACTACTGCCTTCAGCAGATACTTCTCATTGTTATTCTAAAACTGATAGTAAAGGAAAGACTACTAAAAGTCAAACAAAGTAAGTTAGTTGTCCTGAACATATATCCACACTTTAGGAAAACAAATCTGACCCTATTCATAAAAGCTGTTGAAGAAACCCCAAGACTGACTAGCTTGTTGTCTTTGGCTCTTCGTGGAGAAGCAGCAACAATTTCTGGTTGAGTGTCTGAATCATACAATTAAGATAACATAAAATCATTAAAATTAAATTAAACAATAATGAAAACACTAAGGTAAAAAGTAACAGCTTTGGATAATATTTTCTACTAGGTTAGTCTGCTATACAAAAAAATATTTCAGCATGAATTTGCTGATTTTGTGACAGAAGGATACATGTACAAATAACACAGCCTTGTTCTTTATCCTGCAGGAAGTATATTTAGAAATATCTTAGGATATATTATTTTATGTTAATTCAATACAATTATAAAAAAAACATTAAACTGAAGCAGCTCTAGTTTGTGAAAGTTGATTTAATATTTGGGGTGATCTTTTGTCTTTTGAAAATAACATCTTTTTATTTAAGATGACTCATTATTTATATTTATAAATTTAGACTAAAGTATGAAATATTTGTTTTAGGAATTAGGAATAATAATTTATTTTATTCCATTTTTAAATAGCTATAACAAATCATTTATAAACAGAAAAAAGTAACAAGTTTTTTGCTATTTTAATTAATTTAATAAGTTTATTCTATTTAAATATTGATTACTTTTCCTAAACTTGATAAATGTGCTTTTATATAATATTTACTACTTTTTATTTTAAACATTATTATAATGGACAGTATATATAAGCTGCACAACACTGTATTGTAATATCAATATTTATTTTTTAATTGCTTATGTTTCAAATAACATTATATAAATTTTTATTTGTGTATAGTTACATCAGAAGTTGAAACAGTCTTTGGAACTTGTAAAATTTACATTAAACTCAAACCTATTATGTATTTATAACTGCAAAAAAATAAATAAATAAACTGATTTTAAATAACAAGTAAACATTAAATAAACTTTAATAAAATGAATTTGTTTAGAATCAATCATTTTTGAAATATAATAATGGATTCAACATTCTGACCATTTATTATTTGAAGTAACTTTTTGTGAATTTCTAATACATTAAGCTTACTTGATGATGTTTGATGTCCTTTTAGCATACCCATTACACTTTTACCATGAAATCCACTTGCACGTAATAACAGTGCTTTTGTTCTTGGATGACACCATGTAACAACAGGAAATCTAATAGAATTACATAAAAGCATCAAGTATTAAATGAAAAAAACAGTATTATTTAAGTAAAGCATACAGTTCAGTAATGTTTAGTATTATTACAGAGCATATTTAAGTACAGTAGAGCATCGTTCATCTGAAAGCCGGTCAACTGAAATGTTGGTTAACCAAAAGCGTTCCAGTTGGCAAATTTAAATTTCCACTAGTGCTGTGGTGCTGCAACCTTTGGTTATGTCTTGGGCTACTCCAATATTTTTTTGTTGGTGTGTGTGTTTTAGCTGGTAGCACTGGCACTTTTGTCTGGTGTTTTTCTGAGGGCTGTGTGTCGTGCAGAATCGAATGTTTTTGATACTAGATTAACTTCTAAAGTATAATTTTTTTTTGTTTTTATATTTTTCAATATATTTATTTTGTTTTTACAAAATAAAAGAAATAATTTTTAACAATACAATATCCACGATTATTATTATAAAAATTTTCGTTAGGTTTAACATTAATGAAAATTCAATGCGAAGCGACACGAAATGTAAAAAAATAAGTTATCCGAACAATCCCAGTCCCCAATTGATTTGGATAAACAACGCTCTACTGTAATATTTAACTAAATGAAAAATTTGTCAAAAATAAATCAAAATTGGCCTAATTTAAAAAATATTTATATTTTGTATAATCAATCATCTATATACAATTTTTAAATGTGACCATATACTATAATAACTAACATTTGATGTTAATCATTTACACATTTTTATAATATCAAAATGTTAAATAAATTTAAATTAGTTATCAAATTAAAAAATATTTTATTTTCATCACTATTACGTACAAACTGAGATAAAAATTCAATTATTTCTAACTAATAAGAAAAACCAAAAATCCTTATCTATTATATTTATATCGACAGTTTAAATAATAAAACATTAGAAAACAAGAATAGAATATTACCTATAGTGTACATAACACCTTGAAAATTTTCTTATATTATCATCTGATATACATTGCGGAACAACAAGTAATGCAGGATAACTGAAATATATAATGACGATAATTGTATACAATTGTATATAATTATGTATACTATAACAATCATTAGTATGTATCTATTACATAAAATTGAATGTCTATCCAATGTCTATTCTCTATACATATCTAAATTCTTTTACCAATCCACCAAATTTTTCATAGTTAATCAATAGGACCCTGCAGAAAATATAGGCTTCATAAAATCTCAACACGCACTACATTTCCTAATTCCATCCCCTCGACAATTTGTGATAAAACATAACAATGGTAGGCTAAAATAACCAAAATTTTAATATGGTTTTCATTTTAATGTTTGTCCCTACTACTTTTCCTGGCAATGTCATGCATGTCTGCTAGTATTTATATATTAATGATTTTGACTACAGTCATTATTTAATCTATAATTATATAAACATCACTTTTAATTCATGCAATTTATATAAACACAATTATATATTTATATTAAAATTTGGTAGAGTTTCTAAAAATCTAAGTATAAGCCAATGTTATATTTTAAATAAGAAACAATATCATATTATTTAAACTTACAAGGAGAATGTCTCTACATGGAAGTTATATAATAAGAAAGTAATACATGGACTATTTGACAAGTGGAGTGAAGGTGTAAAGCTGCTAATCAGCTTTACACCTTCACTCCACTTGTCAAATAGTCCATGTATTACTTTCTTATGAAAAAATAGAAATGTTAACCATAGAGAAATATCCTCTTAGGTAGGTAAATAGTATGTGTTTAACTACCAAATAAATGTTAGTAACTAGTATTACACAACTTCCATGTAGTGACATTTTCCTTGTTAATACAGCTATTTGTTATCCATTACTATTATTGATAATGTAAATTACATATAATTTTCATCTTATAAACAATGCTCTTTTCAAAAAATAATGTCTATAGTTTATTCTAACAAAGTTTTATTCTAACAAAGTTTTATTCTAACAGAATAACTTTAATATTCAAATATCAAACTATAAAATAAATTAAAATTTATTAAATTAATAGTTGCAAGATTTGTCAATGAAATTCCAGGATTATGTAAATTTAAAGAAACCACTTTAAGTAGGAGAACTTTTGGTTAAAATAGTCTCATTCTGTGTACAGAGTTGTTGGAAATATGTTTCAACTGATTTAAATTTACTGCCATTAATTCCCTTGCCATACTGTGTTTCATATTCCTCTGTACTGTCAAATCATCTTTGGAAATTAACTTGAATTTAGATAACAAGAAATAGTTTATGGAAAATAAATCATTTCAAATAAAAGAGCTGGTAAAGCTAGATGTTTGATGATAAAAAAATTCTTAATCTTCATTGTAGAACTTACTTTGTTCATGAAACAGGAACTATAAGGACCTTGAATAAGTTCTCACTGTTCTTTAACAGATGGCGTTACCAGAACCAAGTGTGTTTATTTTTAGATGGTGACACATCTGTAAGGAAGTACAATAAGTGACCTTGAAATTCAGTATATGTCATTTCACTGAAGTGTAAACAACTTATTTCTTTCATTGTGTTAAACATGTATAGTTTCGTGCCAAAAAGAGTATTTGCGAGGAATTTTATTGCACTATTTTATTAAAAAAAAATCTGCAGCTGAAGCACACAGAATCCTTTTTGAGACTTACGGCAGCCATGCTCTGTTGAAAACAACACGCAGAGATTGGTTTAGACGCTTCAAAAATAATGATTTTGATGTTGAAGATAAAGAACGATCTGGTACACCAAAAAAGTTTGAAGACAAGGAATTAGAGGCATTACTTCATGAAGACTCATGTCAGACGCTAGCTGAACTTGCAGAATCATTAGGAGTTGATCACACAACAGTTTCAAAATGTTTAAAAGGATTAGGAATGATTCAAAAGCAAGGACATTGGGTGCCGTATGAGTTGAAGCCGAGAGACGTCGAACGGCATCTTTTCACATGTGAACAGATGCTTCTACGGCAGAAAAGGAAAGGTTTTCTGCATTGTATCATGACAGGCGACGAAAAATGGAAACACTACGATAACCCTAAGCATAGAAAATCGTGGGGTAAGCCCGGCCATGTATCAACATCGTCAGCAAGGCCGAATATCCATGGTTCGAAGCTTCTGCTCTGAATTTGGTGGGATCAGCTAGGTGTAGTTTATTACAAGCTGCTCAAACCAAACAAACCATCACGGGAGATCACTATCGACTACAATTGATGCGTTTGAGCCAAGCATTGAAGGAAAAATGGCCGCTATATGAGCAAAGACACGACAAAGTAATTTTGCAACATGACAATGCTCGGCCACATGTTGCACAACCGATGAAAACGTACTTGGAAACGCTTAAATGGGAAGTCCTACCCCATTCGCCGTATTCACCAGACATCGCCCCTTCGGATTATCACTTGTTCCGATCGATGGCACATGGCCTGGCTGAGAAGCACTTCCATTCTTATGAAGATGCCAAAAAATGGGTTGATTCTTGGATAGCCTCAAAAGACGTGTCGTTTTTCCGACGTGGAATTCAAATGCTGCCAGAACGATGGGAGAAAGTAGTGGCTAGCGATAGACAATACTTTCAGTGACGTGTTTATTACAACTTTTTTAAAATAAAGTGTTAATTTTCACAAAAAAACAGCAAGAACTTATTCAAGGTCTTTATAGTTATCTATCTTTCAAAATGCTTTTATCAATACATTAAACAATTCAAACTTTTATTGACTTGTCTGACTTGATCAAATTACTTTAGAATGATTTTAATCAGTTTTAAACTTCAAATTATTATTAGTTATTCAGTGTTTTTCACCTTCAAAACCTTTATAACTGTGATAATTTCTCATATATCACTTAAAACATATAAATAGAAAGATTATCTTATCATATCATAAATAAAAGGAAAATTTTGGTTGTTTGCATGTTTATTTGTGGCAGCATTGTATCTGTGTAAAGCCTTTGTAGACACAAATCTGTTCAGACTGGTGGTGTCATTGAATTTCATCTTTTCTCTCAATTTTTCCAGAAAATTTAGCTTGTTTCTTTAAAAATTTGTTTGTTTCAAAACTTGTGTGCTTTCTCAAATTTTTCTGTAAGATACAATGGAACAGATTTAAAAAAAAAAAAAAGATAAATTTTCCAAAAGTTTATTTTAGCAAACAATCCTGTGACATCACTGTCTACAGAAAACACAACAACACATTTAACTTCACATTTGGTTACATTTTACAAAACAGTATATTAATAAAACAATTTAAGTATTAAGAATACACAACCTAAATAATGATGAGCAACCGGGTAAAATTGGCTATTATAATGTTACCATTTAATCAGCATTCCTTTCCCCAAATATTGATGATTTAGTTTCTCACTTTCAAAATAAAATCTAATGAAATGTGAATATTTTGAAATTACTTTAAAAAATATTATTATTACTTCCCATATGCTTTCAATGTGGCTTTGAAATATAGTTACTGTCTCTGAAATATATCACTTTAAATTGTTTTATTACAATTACTCTACTAAGAATTACTTTCTTTATTATTCAAGTGAGATTTTTTTTAATCTTCACAGATATTTCTGTAAAATACAATCTATCTATGTAAAGACAATCTATGTAAACAAAGAACAATCTATGTAAAGACGCATAAACAAAAATTTATTTTATTAAGAGAGGATCAAAAGAAAAATGATAAAATTTGCTTACACCATTATAAAGCATAAAGCCATAAACAAATATTTAGTGTCATCAAACAATAAAAGCATATATCCTGTTTAATATTTTCATATAACAACATGAACATTGCTAAGTACATCAGCTCATAATATTGGGTTGTTCGGAAAGTAAGTTTGTTTTTTTTTACCACTAGATGGATTAGTCGTATTTTTCCCGCCATTTTCATTCTAAACTGTATTATCATTATATATTTTAATAGCTATCATTTCAAGGCTTATTTGTAAAAAATTTTGTTTCATTTTGTGAAATTGTTTATTTTTTGTGTCCCATTAAATATGGAAAATCAAAAGCATCATTTTTGGCATATTTTGCTTTTTTATTAACAAAAATTCAACATGCTGTTCAAGCAAAAAAAAATTGTGGTACATGTATGGAGATGGTGTTGAGAGAGAGACTGTACCAAAACAGAGATTAAATTTGTTGAATTGAACCACTTATGATTACTTGAAATGAATTGGTTTCGTTTTAAAGCTCGATATATGGGTTCCACATGCTCTTAAAGAGAGATGCTCTCTTTGATGGGATTTTAAGGAAATTTTTTTTTTTTGGAGCTTTTACCAGACAATTTAACAATTGATTCAAAAGTGTACTGCCATCGAGTAAACAAACTGAGTAATATCATCAAACAGAAAAGGCAGCCAGAATTGATCAACAAAACACAGGNTACACAAAATTTTATATTTAAAAATATACATACTAGATAAATCATCATCGTAGAGAGAGATTGGTCTTTCATTTTCACTGTCAAAAGTAGATGATGGCATCCTGTTTGGACTCGGCAAAGTTTTTGCATCACCAGGTCCATGAATAATATATTTTTGTTTTCGAGAAGATGGTTTAGGTTTAAAACCTGCTTTCATGGCAGTCTTGAGTAATGTTTTCTTAAACCTTGAAACAAAATAAAAGTTATCAATACACATCTTAAAAGAATAAACGAAACGATGACAATGGGTATTTGACCAAAATGGTCGATATATAGTTCAATAAAATATTTATTAATTATAAAAATATTGTGTTTTTCCATGGGGAAAAAAAATGAAATTACTTTCTGAACAACCCAATATATAATACACAGAGTATCATTCATTTAATAAATTTGTAAACTTCAATTGCATTATCATTAAATTTGTAAAAGCTAACTGTTTGCTGTTTACTCTGATCCAGCACTATAAGACAAAGATTTGTACTATACAACTCATTGCATGTGAATAAAGCTATGAAAAGCTTATTCACAGAACAAATTTGATTTGTCAGCTGTTAGAGAGACACTGAATTTTGTTCCTGAATGTATCTTTTTGTATGTATGGATTCAGTCTCACAATTTAACTGCTAAATCTAGTATATATTTCTCAAAATTTCTTTCTTATATGGTAATGTGAGTAGCAGGGGGCCACTGGGTGAATCCTAATGACCACTTAATCTGCACGGGTTGGGAAGACCGTTCTCGGTTGTCGGATGGCATAGGAGGGCTAAAGATATGAGTGGGGAGGAGTCGGATGTCGTGACCAGGTGTCCAAAAGACTACACAGGTTTAAAATAGACAACACATTTAATAAACAGATGAGAAATTATACATATGGATAATAAATATAACACTTGCGTTCAAGATATAAATAGGTATTCTAAAATCTATCCTAACCTAACCTAATTCAAATGATCGAGAGAGACCTCACGTTGGAGAGAGAGATAATTATGGCAAGGGTTTACCTCGTAGGAAACGCTCTCATATTATAGGGCGTTGATAAAACACTCTGTGATCGTCGTCTTCTACTCCGAGGTGTCCTTTGAAGGCTATGAGGAGCGATGTCCTTCTCAGGTCGTGCGGCTATGTCCAGATGGTGTATGCTCCGTCGCTCCTAATCTGTAGAGAGTTCTTCCAGGTGAAGTTTGCTTGGAGGTTTCTTCTGTTAACCTCTTCAAGACGTAATTCCGTCGTATATGGAGAGAATAGAAAATATGCAAAGTCTTTACCTTTTTATGGAGCGGCGATTATGAGCTTCGTAGATCCTGAGAGTGCTGAAAGAGTAGTCCACTGCGTTCTCTTCCCCCGACGATCGCTGTCCGTTTTTCCTTAGCTGTTCAGAGGGTTTCTTTGGCGTTAGCTCCTCAGCCAAGCGCCCGGAGTAGAAAATCCGACCCCTTTATATACTCTTTTAGTGTGGGAAATCTCGGTGACTCCGTTGATGCAATATGTCAGTTCTCCCAATTTATGAGTCTCCCCCGTCGTGGGTGACGACACTACTGACATCGCTTCACCAATTAGTATTAAATGCGTCATCACCTGGGGAGATGACTGACCATTTTTGGTAACATTTCTCACCGACGGTTGACACTTGTAGGTGACCTCTTGTCTACCCTCAACACGGGAACACTTGTTTGTTTTCGTTAATTGGTCATACCGCAGACACCTTGTAATAGAGTAGTCTCCTGGGGAGAGGGGAGTTCTTCCGCGGTCGCCTCGGATGACTTCGTCCGTCAAGAAGGTCATCTCCAGTAACTACGCAGTTCATTGTCCGAGGTCTATTCCTCAGGCAACGGGGTGAGAACAGGAGTAATAACGGAAATAATGATAAAAAAAAAACTCTCATAAGAGAGTCATATTTTCACATTAATATATAGTGGGTGATTGGTTAACGAATACATTGCAAAAGATTTTTATGTTCAGATAATGAACACCTCACAAAACAAACACAAGAAGAAGCGATGTAAAATAATGAATATCGATTGGTCTTCCCTTGTCTTCAAACAACAATTCAAAACTTTTTGGAGCGCGGAAGACGTCAACATTGACGCTCAACCCAGTATATATCGATCAAATAGTATTTCTCTGAACTTTGAAACTCTCCCTTGTAATTCCAGCCTTTTATTTTTCTGACAGAAACAGTTCTTTTATAGTATTCATGAGACTGTCTGGCAGGCACTTGTTAAGTTTTGTGTCGGTTTTTATTTTCGAAAGGTGAGAGTATAATAGCAAAGGTAGAGAGTGGGCAGAAGATGTCTGATGTTGCTGGGCAGTATGGCTTGAACAGGTCTACAGTAGGCTGCAGTACAACCTTATTTAAGAAAGATACTGTATAATCAAGAAGACACAAGCAGTTAAAGGAGTAACAAAAATCACATCTGAGAAATAAAGAACATTGAAGAGATCATAATGGAATCTGAAACTGATCTGACGACAGAAGAACGCCAAGAACTCTTGAATGAAGAACACCAAGAAACTCGGCGAGATATGTTTTCTTCTGAAAAAAAAGATTAATGCCGATATCTACTATAATGATCTTTTGAAGAAATGAGAAAATGTCAGAACAACGGTCTTAGAATGGCATCCAAACCAGGTTGAGGTTAATAGGCTTGGGATCTGTACAATTGCAATGCTATTAATTACTTCTGAAAAATCTTGAAGAAGAGAGAGAAGCAATTGACATTAGACAGATTCTTTAACCTCCACAAATGAAAAATAACCTGACTAATAAAAAATGCAAGACTGTATATATGTATTTTTATTATTACATATAAATAAATGTAGTAAGAAAGTATATATTTTTTATTTTTTGGGGTCTCCAGAACAAATTAATCAAATTCCCATAAAAACTGTAAATCGATAATTGGTTAACAAACAATTTGGATAGTGAACAAAGTCTTGGAACAGATTATGTTCGTTAACTGATCAAACTTTATTTATATTGTTAGCCAACAGATGAGGGGCACTAACCTGAAATGCATATTAGCATTTGGAACAATTGGTTTATACACTGTAAAGTACTGTACATCAAAAATAAAGTGGATGTGAAAAAGGCCAGTGTCTAGTATCAACACTTCATGGTGTCTCAAAATATAATTAATTTATATTTTATTAAAAAATATTAACATATTAAAAATATATATTAAGTAAAAGCATATATATTATATAAATATATATTAAGTAAATTTTTAGTATTCTAGTATTAAATCTAGTTTTTTCCTTATAATTTTATTCAAATAGCATGATGATATTTTATATGTGGCATAAAGCAAATTATGTACATTTTATTATTCTAACTTAAATATTTAAAGTAAATATTCAAAAGTTCTTTCACCTTCTACAAATACTGTAAGTACTGTTAATGGAGGTAATACGGAGGCCATCACTTTTTCCTTTGGAATTATTACTATTTAAAGAGCCTAAGCCCAACCTCTGATAATCTTTACAATAACTTCTTTCTGATAATTTCTCTAAAGTTTTGGAATCCATATGAGGAGTTGATACATGAGGTGTTATTGTGTTCAGATCACTTTCATCTATAACTAAATAATTTTATTATTAAACAATTTAGTTTTAAAGATAGTTATCTTCAAATTTCATATATTTCATAATGTATAAAAAAATATATAACACAAAATTTTATATTTAAAAATATACATACTAGATAAATCATCATCGTAGAGAGAGATTGGTCTTTCATTTTCACTGTCAAAAGTAGATGATGGCATCCTGTTTGGACTCGGCAAAGTTTTTGCATCACCAGGTCCATGAATAATATATTTTTGTTTTCGAGAAGATGGTTTAGGTTTAAAACCTGCTTTCATGGCAGTCTTGAGTAATGTTTTCTTAAACCTTGAAACAAAATAAAAGTTATCAATACACATCTTAAAAGAATAAACTACAATATACAAATGCCATTCTTTTAATAAATGTATGTAATATATGTAATAAATTAAAATGTTAAACGTTTTACAGTAACAATATCATCAGCAATTAAGTAATAAATTACTAAAGTTTAACTAATACAAATTAACAGCAAATGTGTGACTCTCAGGGTGACAACTTGTCTAAAATACTTAAAAAATAAAAATTCATAAAATTTACCAATCAGAATTTTTCAGTAAATGTTTTTAGTGAAACTTTTTAAAATTTTAATTATGTTCCATTTACTTAAACTTCTGTTCAATGAATAGTTTGAGTAAAGTGATAATAAAATTTCTCATAATTTATTTGAATTATAGAACCTGTTACAATAAATGCATCAAAGTTACACAATAAAATTAGTCAAGTCAAAAGTTTTCCTATTTAATGTTGCAACAATGTTTTCTTATGTCAAGTTTTCATAAATTGTCATAAAAATAAAAATTTACTTTTAATCTGTTTTCAACAATAGAAGTAATTTTTATTTATTAAAATTCCTGCATGGGACTTGAATTTATTAAATTGTTATTTGAATTGTCATCCTAAATTGTTATTTTTATTTATATATTGTTTTAATGCAATAGCATTTAAATCATAACTTACTTTAAAGTTGCATTTTTCTCTTTCTGCTTATGAAGTGGTGTCTGAGGAACAGTTAACTGACCACTAAATGCAAAAACATGAAATATGGTTGCTGGATATCTCACTTTATTTATTAATTTTCGCAGCATTTCTATATTTTCAGATGTTACTTCTTCATCAAATGCTACTTTTATTAACTGTATATGATAAAAAAAATAAATATTTTAAATAGTATAAAAACAGTCAATATGTTTAGAAAAAAAAATTATCAATATAATTTGGTATATGTACATAAGATTACTGCTACTCAGACCAAAAAACAAATCAAATTCATTCATCATTTTAATGAATATTATTGAAAGATATAAATTATAATATAATTTACAGTTTATAATTATAAATTATGTATACAAAAAAAACAAACATGACCTTTATAAAAAAAAATGCACATTTATAACTATAAGCAACTAAAACTTGTAATCTCACTATTTATGCTAAATTCTCCAACCAAATCAATTTTTAATATATATTTATCCTTTCCTTACATTCCAATATTTAATTTTGTTCTGAAAAAGTCAACATTAATCAAATAATGTGTCACTAAAATAATGGATAAAAGTAAATGATTTTTAAATAAATAAATTATATCTGAAATGCTTCTGAAATTTTGAATATTCTGAAATAAAAAAATGATCTGACACATTCCACTTCACTTTTTTTACAGTAGAGTCCCAATTATGCAAGTCTCAGTTAACTGAAGTTCTGCATTATTCAAGGTAAATCTAAGTGAATGCACTGTTTTTCTTATAATTCATAAAAGTTTTATCATGAATGTACCAAGAGCATAAATATTATAGTACTTTTAACCTCAAATGTATTAAGCAAGTGGCTAATGAGAAAGTGACATTTTTTAAAGTTTTTCCATCCTGTGAGCACTAAGAGAGTTTTTTCATGCCCATTTTAATTTTGGCCAGGCTTACAATGAGAGTGACCAGATGTTGAGGGACAGAGCCTGATGAATTCAGGATAGAAAGCCCATAAAAATGATACTGAGGTGGCTGTGGAATATTGCAGCAGAGATGGGAGAAACTAATATGAAACAAAAAACTCTTAAGATCATTTTAAAGAAATTTTGAAACAATAAAATACATTACAAAATGAGTTGTTTCTGTTATCTTTTATCATTTAATTTCAACGTGAGTATTCACATTAAAACATAACTTACAATAGTTTAGGAATAAAAGTGTGTATTATTGTATGTATTAGCTGCATAACAAATGTTGCAAAAAAAATGATGTTGGGCTGCAATTTGAAAAAATTTTAGACTATAAATTCCCGTTGTTGTCCATCTGTCTGTCCTTCCATAATCTTGAGAATGGAGTTAGATAGATGAAAGATGAGACCACATATGCATAGGAGCAGGAGGCCCAATTAACTATACACAAATTTCTGGTTTGCACTGGAAGTCATGTTATTTCAATTCAAAAATCTCCCCCAAAAGGAGTTAGATAGATGATTCGCATGACTATTGCTAGCAGAAAAAGTATGATGTACACAGGCAAGACACTACTAATCTGAAATGGAGAGCATATATTTTAAATTAAATAAATTAAAAAGATGATTAAAAATTGCAGCCCAGCATTGTGACAATGTCACAATAAATAATTGGTCATTCATATATATAATTAAATTTACTAAAGCTTAAAAGTGAACACATACATTCTTTATATTTTCAATTTTTTAAAAATCTAAAATGGTCTTGGCTATCCATTTTATCTGCATTTTCAGTTATCTCTGATGGCATTCTTCCACATTACCTCTAATAATCAGGGTTCTACTGTATAATTTATTTTGATTAAAATTTAAAACTTCTTATTCATACATAATCCATTTCCTTCTCCTGTTGCTACTTGAAGAATNAAAATGAGTTGTTTCTGTTATCTTTTATCATTTAATTTCAACGTGAGTATTCACATTAAAACATAACTTACAATAGTTTAGGAATAAAAGTGTGTATTATTGTATGTATTAGCTGCATAACAAATGTTGCAAAAAAAATGATGTTGGGCTGCAATTTGAAAAAATTTTAGACTATAAATTCCCGTTGTTGTCCATCTGTCTGTCCTTCCATAATCTTGAGAATGGAGTTAGATAGATGAAAGATGAGACCACATATGCATAGGAGCAGGAGGCCCAATTAACTATACACAAATTTCTGGTTTGCACTGGAAGTCATGTTATTTCAATTCAAAAATCTCCCCCAAAAGGAGTTAGATAGATGATTCGCATGACTATTGCTAGCAGAAAAAGTATGATGTACACAGGCAAGACACTACTAATCTGAAATGGAGAGCATATATTTTAAATTAAATAAATTAAAAAGATGATTAAAAATTGCAGCCCAGCATTGTGACAATGTCACAATAAATAATTGCTCATTCATATATATAATTAAATTTACTAAAGCTTAAAAGTGAACACATACATTCTTTATATTTTCAATTTTTTAAAAATCTAAAATGGTCTTGGCTATCCATTTTATCTGCATTTTCAGTTATCTCTGATGGCATTCTTCCACATTACCTCTAATAATCAGGGTTCTACTGTATAATTTATTTTGATTAAAATTTAAAACTTCTTATTCATACATAATCCATTTCCTTCTTCATTGAATTCAAAATACAAATTAAAAATTAAATTTTTATTTTCATTAATTATTACTTTCAAATCTCTAAAAATATAAAATAGTTCACTGTCACTATTAGAAGCCTACTGGGCTTAAAAATTTTCAGAAAAAAAGGTTTTATGAAGAATAATTATTTATTCTATATTATTTTCTGACTTTTAAGCTAACTTTCAGACAACATTGAATTGTTTCTCTGTTTCCTTTATTGTGGGAAAATTACTGAAAATTTAGTCCCAACTGTTGCCATGGTCAAAAATAGCTTCCAGTATTTTAAAAAATTTTCATTAAAATGTGCTATTTACTGTATATATCAATTTCTCAATAACAAAAACATGGTTCTATAACAGGAGGGAGGCCTCTAATAAATTATTTTTAACTAAAGAAATAGAAGAAGGTAGGTTTAAACTTCTAATAGGAAGAATACAGCAATTTTTCAGACAACTTATTAAACCTAGCATTAGTCCACATATGATAGTAATTGGTAAAACTAATTTTTTTCTGCTAATAAATTTTGAACATCTAAATAGAAAAAAGTTTAAAAGCACTCAACTATTCAAAATATGAGAGCTTCATTAACCAGGATAAATTATATTATCAACATCAAAGAAAACAAAGCATAACTACATAATAAACTAACATTTTAACATCTAACATTTGATAATATAATTTTTTTATTTTCTCAAGATTATTTTAGTACAATTTTATTACTTTTTATTAAAATTATATATTTTGTAATTATTTCTGATCAATAGTTTTATTTAAAGAAATGTAGGCAAATAGAACATCTTTGTCTTTTTATTACATGTCTTTTCAGTGTTAATTTAAAATAAATTTTAAAAGTATTTTTATTGTAGACAACAAAATTCTGAAAAGAAAAGAATAAAGTTCAGTTTTAAAATATTCACTTTAGTGACAATCACTCACACTTATCTGCATATTTTATTGAATATTTGTAAAAATCAATATATACATGTTTATATATTAAAGATTACTGGATTCAAATTTCTCATTATTTTAAATCATAAAAGTGATTATTATAAACACACTCTTACATTACCATAAGAGTCTTGGACATGGGCACTTGTTTGTGTGTTAGTTTGTTTGTGTATTCAGCTGATTATGTGTAACTTTCTCATGTTCTTGTTATAATAAAGAAAAAAATATGTAAAAATAAAAATATGCATCAGGCATTTGAAACAACTTGCATGCCTCACAAAATAAAAAAATAATTATTTTTAAATTTAGTTATAAAGAAAAGTTTTACAAAAATAAAGTTTGAAAAGATGAACTTATTAAAACTGAGAAAATTGGAAATTTTTTCTTATGATTGTACTTGTTATAAATAAAATATTAAAAATATTTTTTCAACAATAGTATATAAAGAAAGTTATACTGGAGAAAAAAGTGAAAAAAATTACTGGCAACTTCATAAACATAAATTATAAAACAGAATTGAGAAAAGTACATTTTATATCAAACTCTAATAGAGACTGTCAAAAATTCATCTGCTTATGTAATTTTAAAAAATATTCTACAAATACAATATAGTACTTAAAAAGTTTTTAAATATATACTATGAAAAACAGATCAAAATTTATTCTTTACCAAATATGTGTGGTTTTCTATCAAATATGAAATCAATAACATTTAAAAAGAAAATACAGTTATATTACTGAATTTCCAGTAACCTCAGTTCCAAAACTTTGCCAGACTAACCTTGTTCATAAATAATAATACAGTAGAGCGTTGTTTATCCGAATCAATTGGGGACTGGGGTTGTTCGGATAACTTATTTTTTGGATAACCGATTATGTACGAAAAAATACATTAACCTATCCAGTGTTGAAATTTTTCTCCGTTGCGTGTCGCTTTGCATTGAATTTTCATCGATGTTAAGCCTAATGTAAACTTTTTAAAATAATAATCATGGCTATTGTATTGTCAAAAATTATTTCTTTATTTTTTACAAACAAAATAAATATATTGAAAAATATAAAAACAAAAAAAAATTTATACTTTAGAAGTTATCTAGTATCAAAAACGTTCGATTAAGCATGACACAGTCCTCAGAAAAACACCACACAAAAGTGACAGTGCTGCCAGCTAAAACACATACACAAACAAAAAATATTGGAATAGCCCAAGATATAGCCAAAGATTGCAGCGCCACAGCACTAGCAAAAATTTAAATTTGCCGACTGGAATTCTTTCGGATAAACAACGCTCTACTGTAATTCATTAACACACCTCTAACCCATTAATTATACCACCTCCCATATATCTAAAATATAACAAGGGCAGCTAGAAACTTAAATTAAAGAAAAATAAAATGTGAATTGTTTGATACTACCAACACACTCAGCTCTTACAAGCTGTAGCCAGGGTTAAATTTAAGCAAAATAAACTAAGAATATCACAAAATTGCAGTATTATAACCAACAAGTGTAATGTAAATAAACCCTATGCATAATGCTAGCTGCAGCAGTCCAGTAAACTAGTCTGGTGACTGTGGGAATTTCAATTTCCCTGTCATAATTTTGTCTAAATTAAGTGCCACCAGTTGCCAGAAATTTTGTGATGTATCTGTAGTATTAATTTTAACGTAAATGAAATTTTTATCAGAATCTTGGTTATTAATAAGGTACATTTTTCAAAATGATTTATTCTGATATTTTCTAAAACATATTTACCTGGAAAGTACTTGATCTTAATTGAAGTCCTTCTCGCAAAATTTGATCCAGATGTGAAAGATATTGTGTGTTTACCCTTTTCTCTTTTGTTAAACTAGCAATAGGAAAGCTTCTTACAATTGTTTGCTGACAAGCTGTGATAAAAAAAAAGAAGAAGGTAGGTTTAAACTTCTAATAGGAAGAATACAGCAATTTTTCAGACAACTTATTAAACCTAGCATTAGTCCACATATGATAGTAATTGGTAAAACTAATTTTTTTCTGCTAATAAATTTTGAACATCTAAATAGAAAAAAGTTTAAAAGCACTCAACTATTCAAAATATGAGAGCTTCATTAACCAGGATAAATTATATTATCAACATCAAAGAAAACAAAGCATAACTACATAATAAACTAACATTTTAACATCTAACATTTGATAATATAATTTTTTTATTTTCTCAAGATTATTTTAGTACAATTTTATTACTTTTTATTAAAATTATATATTTTGTAATTATTTCTGATCAATAGTTTTATTTAAAGAAATGTAGGCAAATAGAACATCTTTGTCTTTTTATTACATGTCTTTTCAGTGTTAATTTAAAATAAATTTTAAAAGTATTTTTATTGTAGACAACAAAATTCTGAAAAGAAAAGAATAAAGTTCAGTTTTAAAATATTCACTTTAGTGACAATCACTCACACTTATCTGCATATTTTATTGAATATTTGTAAAAATCAATATATACATGTTTATATATTAAAGATTACTGGATTCAAATTTCTCATTATTTTAAATCATAAAAGTGATTATTATAAACACACTCTTACATTACCATAAGAGTCTTGGACATGGGCACTTGTTTGTGTGTTAGTTTGTTTGTGTATTCAGCTGATTATGTGTAACTTTCTCATGTTCTTGTTATAATAAAGAAAAAAATATGTAAAAATAAAAATATGCATCAGGCATTTGAAACAACTTGCATGCCTCACAAAATAAAAAAATAATTATTTTTAAATTTAGTTATAAAGAAAAGTTTTACAAAAATAAAGTTTGAAAAGATGAACTTATTAAAACTGAGAAAATNTAAATGGGAGGATGCCAAAATTCTTACAAAAGTACGCTCGCCAACGTTGTCATCCATAACTGAGAAATGTGAAATTTACAGAGCGAGTTTGGCTGACAGATGTTTAAATTATAAAGATGCGACGGTATTACCGTCATCCTGGAAATATATAGTAAGAAGTAACACGAGTAATAATGCGTCTACAGTGACTCAATAGATATCTGGGTTAATGTATTAGGAATTGTTCCTTATTGTTTGCGGCTTAACACCGTATTTTATTTTTTATTTTTATTTTTCATTTTTCAGTTTTCTGTTAGTTTGGTATTTTATTTATTGTTTTAGTTTGGTTATGCTTATTCTATTGGTTAAATTTAAACGCATGTTCTAATTTGGTTTAATTTTGAACGTGTTCGGTTGTGTATTAGAATCGAACAACAGTAAACCTGAAGATGGCCCATAAATTGAGCCGAAAACGTTAGTTGTGGGTAATAAATATATGTTTCTCAGCAAGAAGGTGTGTTTGATGTATCTAATACTATTGTTTCACAAATTGCTGTATAACAGTAAGAGAAGCGTTTTGGATTATCAAACAGCAATTTATGAAGTAAAGATGTTCAATAAGGCAAGTGTTGTTAATCAGTTCTTTTAGGAAATTAAGTAAATTATGTATCACAATTTAATTCCAGGACTATATCCTAGGAACTAATCACAAACAATTTTTTAAATTATAAATTATTAGTATGCAATTCTCAGAAAAATAAAGAATTTCTTCCTTTCATATTTATTATTATAAACTAAATATATTTTATAAACAATTTATCTTTACAGAATTATTATTAATTTAAAATTTGTATATTTTAATTTGAATGTCTAAATCCTATAAATAAATCTATCTATCTAAACTGAAATTTTAATGAAATTTATGAAATCTTTGGACAATTTCACTTTGTGACTTTATTCCTTGCAGCATATCCAGAGTTCTATTCTTAGTACTTGCTTTTTATCACTTACGATAAAACTAGGTAAGATCTTGACTGTTAAATCAAGAATTACAAAGAAATTTTCTATCATAAAAATTACTAAGAATAATTCATAAAGTACCTAATAAGAATTAGATGTATTGTTAAGATCATTAATTCAGATCTCCTAGCATCTGATCTTAACATATTAACTTCCAAAATAAATCTGTTTAATTTGAAAATGATTCTTGATAAAAATTGCTGTGTTTTTCATTAGTCTACAATCCTAATCTTCCATTCTTTCCATTAAGCGGGGATTCCATTAACTATGTTCATTCTGTTAATGATCTTGATATCATCACTGATGCAACACCAGTTTTCTGTTGCCACATTTTATTAAAAAACTGGAAATCAGAAGTGCACTTTGGCATCGTTGTCATCTAATTTCTTTTCAGTCAGCCCTATGAGCCTTTCTTTTCTAAACTTTCAATCCATTGTTAATTACTGCTTGCCAGTTTTGGCCATTGCTTTACCTCATTGGCCACAGGTCTTTACAGGGGTTTACAGAACTCAATAGTGTATTTTTCCCCCAACAAATTGTGCTCTGTCTTATATCAATTCTTGTGAAATTGCCAGATCAACTTGGTCTTCCTGACTTATTTCATCATATTTTATTTTATAGGTATTGTAATGAATTTTTTTCATTTTTATCACTCCTTTACCTGTTTCAATAAAAATTACTAAGAACAATTCACGCATTGCCAAACCTAACTTTTATATTAGTTCTTCAAAACATTCATTTTTCTTCCATGCAGTTAACACCATCCATGTCACTAGTACAGAATTATCTTCATTTAGAATTTAGTCAATATAAAAAATTATATAGAAAAAATGTGACATTATCTTTACTTACGTTTGACTCCATACTTTGTATTTCATTTACATCATGCCATACTGTTAGAAGTCTGTATCTTTAACACTGTTAAAAACATTAACTTAACAGTATAGTGTGAGGTAAATGAAAATGTTATATTAATTTTTAAGTGTTAGGATTTGATATAATTTTATTAATTTTTTTATACTTGTATTCTTTTCTATATTTATAATTTTAATTTGCAAATTGTACTTTTTTTTATTACTTTAATCTTTACATTCCATCAATATATCTTATTAATCAATATATTTGTTTATTATACCTTAGTTTTTGTGATTTCATTGAAACATTTTGTTATAGGCTGATAGGCAGGCAGATAGTAGGATGAAGAGTTCACCGAATTTGGCATTATAAGTGTTTTTTATCACAAGTACGTTTAATGAATTTATAATTTTTGTCATCAGGCAAATAAAGATTTTTAAAAAGATAGAACAAAAATATTTCGAGGAAGAAGAATGTGAGTGCGATGAATTTCTTTCGCAATCACACTCCTCGGTGATGAGTGAAGACTCTACACCAATGATCTTACAGAAAGCAAGGAGAATTATAGCCCTACCAGATGCAACCTCAATCCTAACTGGGTGCCTTGACCCCCCACCAATGTTGCATGTCCAAGGTTGTTCTTTGAACCAAAAATACATAAGGTAGACTGGCCATTACGACTGCTTGTAAACAAGATATCTTTACCCCACTTACTTTTTAGATACCCCACTTACTTTTTAGAAAAGGAACTTGCCAAGTTCCTATGCACACTACTTCCAGACTCACCCTATGTTACTCCCTTGTCCATAGTCACTAAATCCACTATCACTTCAAGCATTGGCATGGTACAAGCAAGCACCTACAACTTCTACAAACTGGATGTAGTATTCTTGTACCCTTTGGTGCCCATGTTTGAAGTGTAATGCTTGCCAACTCTCTGCTCCTCAAAAAGGGATTTATATCCAGCAGGTACTTGATATACATGATGCACTGACCTTTATCACTGAGCATAATTATTTCTGTTTCAATAGGAAAATTTATTTACAGAAGCAGAGGTCCCCATGGGTTCTCCTTTATCTGCTATTCTAGCAGAGCTAATTATGAGAGAAATCGAGCACAGAACATTCAATTCCCTGCTTGCCATCCACTATCTGCTGCTGTACTTGCGTTACATTGACGATATTTTCATAGCCTGGGAAGATACAGATGAAACGTTTTTTTATCTTTATGCAGCAACTCTCAAGTATATATCCTTCCATTAACTTTACTTAGGAGAAAGAGAATGATGCAGCAATAACATTCTTAAATTTGTGCATATGCAATTTCCCGAAAAGCCACAGTTCTCTGTTCACCATAAGTCTAATTTGGCACCACATATTATCCCATCAGATGCTTTCTAGCCTTTGCGATATGTTAATACCATCATTGCCACCCTCATTAGAAGAGCCTTCTTACTACCATCAACACAAGCCTTGGTAAACATTGAATTAAACACCATTAGTTTGGCAGTATGTACTGCTGGTTTCTCGTGTGTTAAGTTCATGCATGTGCTCAACATGGTACTTGGAAATAGAGATTTTCATACCATGCTATGTAGTAAGAGGGAAGTTTCTGTAGTCCAACCATCGTTGCCATACCTTGGACCCCTTTCCATATGCATTTGCCATATTTTTAAGCAGCATAACCTTCTCCTGCCCCTATCCCCACTACCAAGTCTACACAGGCTCATCTGCAATGATTGGGACAAATTCTCCACTTTTGAGGAATCAGGGGTCTTTGCTGTACTGCTGGAAAATCTCGCAGCAGGAATAAATAGAAAGTACATTGGGGCCACAACAAGAATGCTTGCTAGCTGCCTAGCAGAACACTAAGATGATGTAGTGAAGGGAAAGCACCCCACAGAACTTACAGGAAAGGTGCTCAAGCAGGGTTACAATCCACTATGGAACCAATCAACAATGCTGAAGTGTTGCAAAAATAGAAAATTCATCTTTATATGGGAGTTCCTTTTCACAGCAACCTCAGATGCATGCAACACTCCCACTCTCAACCTGCCCAATGTATGGGTCACACCTTATAAGCAATCAAACAACAATCTTCATCCACCATCACATTGCTAACGTGGGCCTACAAGACCTAAGTGTGGGATTGTAATAAGGAACAGTAATATGGATGTGTCAATGGTTCAGGAATTGAGCTCAAACAGAC